ACTCACCTCAGCCTCCCAAAGGCGCAGGACTACAGGCTGAGCCACCAAGCCCAGCTAGTTTTAAATCTTTTAAGTCTGAGTCCCACGGTCTTCAGCACAGGCCTTTTCCTCTAGCTCCAGGCCCATCTACCCAACTCAGTATCTCTGCTGTTACCTATTCGTGTCTCAAACTTTTATTATTATTATTATTATTATTATTATTATTGCTAGACTTTCACTCTGTAGCCCAGGCTGGAGGTCAGTGTCACGATCATGGCTCACTGTAGCCTCAACATCCTGGGCTCATACCATTCTGCCTCAGCCTCACGAGTAGCTGGGACTACAGGCACATGCCATCATACTCAGCTTATTTTTTGATTTTTTTTTTTTTTGTAGAAACAAGGTCTTGATATGTTGCTCATACTTGTCTTGAACTCCTGGGCTCAAGCAATCCTTCTACCTCAACCTCCCAAAGTGCTGGAATTACAGGCACAAGCCACAGACTCGGTCTCAAATTTAACATATCCAAACCTGAGCTCTCCATATCTCTCCTCCCAAGCCAGTCCTTTCTGCAGTCTTCCTAAACTGTTTTCCCCCATTTCTCAGCCCTAAAAACTTGGTATCATCCTCTCATCTCATACCGCACCAAATTTCTCAGCCCTACCTGTCAGCTCTGTCTTCAGAACACATTTAGAGTCTGATCACTTCTCCCCATCCCCAGTACCACTATCCTGGCCCAGCCATCATGATTATCACAGTGCCCTCCCCCCCCGGTTTCTGTGTTTCTGCCCTCCCTTTCCTTCCAGCATTCTCTCAACCCAGGTGCTGGTGTTGTTATAACATAAAGCAAATCCTATCAGTCCACCATTAAAAACCCTCTGATCACAAAAAGTCCTTACTGGAACCTACAAGACCCTGTGTGACCTGGCCCCTGATGCCTCTCTAAATGCATCCCCTAGGACAGTCCCCCATGCTGGCCTCTTGCTCTTCTTTAAACATGCCAAACACGTTCCTGTCTTAGGGTCTTTGCACTTGCTGTTACCTCTGCCTGAAATATCCTTCCCCTGGGTGTCATGGCTTACATTCTCACTTCCTTTATGTCAACAGGTACTTATCTCAGTGAGGCCAGTCATGTATCTGAGTGTGTGGTTCCTGGACTGACTACAGAATTGTAATGATTACAGTTAGTTATTTGAGCACTTGAGATTTCCCAATTATATTACATTTTACAAGGGCGTGTTGTATATTTTCAATGTGCATTGACAGAACTCTTTCTCCCCTCCTATTCTCTGTGCTATAACACCTTCTTGATAAAATATTAAAGACTGGGACAATTAAAATATTCAAATTTTTTAAAAACCTCCAAAATAACTACAGATGACAGAAGGATTTGGGGGACGAAGCACTGAGGCCATTTGTTTCTCATTGTATTGGACACCTTGAGCCGCCATAACCATGTCCCACAAACTGGATGGCTTCGAACCACAGAAGTGGATTCCCTCGCAGTTGTGGAAGCCGGAAGTCTGAGATCGAGGTGTTGGCAGGATCATGCTCCCTCTGACGGGTTCCAGGGGAGAGTCTGGCCCTTTCAGCTTCTGGTGATCCCGTTGTCTCTTGGCTTGCAGCAGCATGACTTCAATCTTTGCCTCTGTCATCACATGGTGTTCTGCATGTGTGTATCTGTGTCCAAATCTCCCTCTTCTCAGAAGGATACCAGACATATTAGATATGGCTATACTCTTCTGATTGTATCCTGACTTGATTGCATCTACAGAGACCCTATTTCCAAATAAGATCCCATTCACAGGTGTTAGGGTTAGGACTTCGTGTTGGAGGACACAATGCAACCCATAATACAAAAAAAAAATACAAATGCCAGCCTGGCAAAGCACACACACACACACACACACACACACACACACACACACACACACACACACACACATTTGCCTTACAGGAAAG